TTGGATGCTGAGGATCTCTTTAATCTAGTGGAAAAAGAAAGAACAAGAACCACTGATTGGAAACTGAAGCCAGACAAATTCAAGCTGAAAATAAGGAGTGGAATTGTTACAGTGCGGATGTTTAACTGCTGGAACAGACTCCCTGGGAAGTGGCAGCTTCTCCATCCCTCCAAGCCCTCACAATCACTACTTTTCTGGAAGATGTTTTTGCCAAAAATGAGCCATCAGGCTCAACAGAGGGATAAAGGAGTGAAGCGCCCTGTCCCATGGGGTATGGGAAGGCAGATCAGCCAGCCCTTATCTCCATGAGGGTTGCTTGGACTGTGGAAAAACACAGATGAAGGTGCAGGAATGGAGCAATCTGTAACAGGCTGTTGAAACTCGAGCGTGTCTGAGGGACAGAGGAAGAGCTTGGGCAGCTTCAGAAGAGGGAAAAAGCAAGAGGAAGAGGATGGGCAGCAGCCAGCTGATGCTGCCGGTGACATGGGGACACAGAGCCATATGCCCCGGCAGCCCCAGCCGGAGGAGGCTGTTCACCGCAGGGTCAGCAGCCTGCTCATCTGAAGTTCAGCTGCCTTTGCTGGTTACAGCCCCCAGGAGACTGAAGGGCTACAGCTCTGTTACTCCAGTTTTCTGGTTATGGCAACATCTTCTCACATGTGGTGAACATGGAGTTGAAGAAGCTCAGGTGGGCTGTAAAGCTGCTTTGCTGCTTCTGGGAGAGAGTGTGGGGATACGCTCCTGCGCCCTTCCTAATGGCTCTGGAGACGGACGGGTCTGGTTAATAGGTCTGTCTGAAGGTCTGCCTAGTCAGCCTTGTTTCCAAAAGTTGAAGTTTCTAAAAGCTCCTACAATGAATTAAAACGTGCAAAGAGATCGAGTGGGACCCTCTGGGCTTTCTGCTTCTAGTGGAAAGCTCGTGGGTCTTCACTGGCCCCGCGGTGCTCAGAAGATGTGTCTGGCCTGAGCTCTGCACGTCAGCTCACTTGAGACAAGCGCCCTTCCTGCCCGTAAATCAGGGGTCATGGCCGGGAGACCTCCTGGGGCACAGGACGGCTCTGCCTTCAGGTGCTTCTCGCCTGCAGCTCCGAGGGCTGCGGTGGCAGCACAGCTTAATGGGTCTGCAACGTAATTAAAGCAAGAAAGCTCCCTCAATTCCCAGGGGGCTAATAGCAGACCAGATTCCTGTCTGTTATTCCTCCTCTACAGCTACAGCTGTATTGCTGGCTCAGCCCTCACAACAGGAGCGCTCTGTAACTCCAAAAGTCAAATCCTTTCTGCAGTTGCGCTGGTTGGAGCCGCGCATCTCCCTGAGGATCACCGGGACTGCCCCTGCTGGGATGCCTGGCACTGCGCTCCAAAGCGGGTGCTCATCTTTGCCTGCTGGGCACTGCCAGCCTGGGGCCACGCTCACACAGGGTTTGCTATATGGGAGGGGGTGCCAAGCTGCTGCCAGGGGTCTGGGGAGAGGTCGCTGATCGGTGGAAAAGCCACCCCGGTTGCAGCCAGGCTGGGTTTCAAGAACAACTGCTTCCCAAGCTGGTCACTGTTCGAAGAGGAACCAGTAGCTGCAGGTGCCCAGCACCCCCAGCATGGTTTTTAACTGGGATTCACTCATGCCAGTGGTAGGAGCAGCACCCGGAGCACCGGCCCAGCTGGGGGAAGTGCCCACACCCAGCAGGTTTGTTTCCGTCACGCTAGGTGTGGGTGTAATTCATCACCCAAATGCTCGGTGTCACCAGCTCCTGGTAATTTATTGCACGTAACATGATTTTGGCCCCCGCCGCAAGCGGGCTTGTGATGACGCGAAAAGCTGCAGCTGTCTTCAGCGCTTCCCTGCAGTAAGCTGAAGAGCTCGAGTGCCTTGAGGCCGGCGCTGAACGGCTCCTTTTCCAGCCCCGGGTCATTTTTCTGGCCCTCCTTTGAACTCTCTTTGGTATTTCCACATCCTTCTCAAAACGGAGACTTTGGAGCTAGCCTTGCCAGCAAGGCAAAGTAAAATCACTGCTATCCCCTTGCCTCCTGCAGATGCTGGAGGGACAAGTGGATCCCCATGATGCCCTGGGGGCATTGCCTGTACCAAAATACTTTATGCTCAGCCATGGTCATTTTGTGCTTTGCTGAACAGCTCGTCCTGCATCACTGCTGACCGCCTAACCCATCTTGTGGTTTCCACGTGTTTTTTCTCAGAAAAGCTGTGTACCCTTAGCTAGATCAGAAGCTCATGAATTGTGGCCAATGCTTCCCAGAGGACAAGCACCTCTCCTTGCGCTCAGTCCAGGAGGTGCTGAATGGCATAGCTCTGCCTGTAAGCTGCCATGGCAGGAACCCCAGGCTGAGCTTCCTGAGCTCTACAAGGGAGCAGGGTTTGCCAGAGCACCTTTGGGAAGAGTGTACGCCAAGACGTGAGATTTGGCAGCAGCTGGGGAAGGTCACGGGGCTGGGCAGCTCCCCACAGCCCCCCATTGCAAACCTTGCTGCTGCTGAGCCTTGAGAGCGGAGGGATGCTGGTGTGGAAGCAGCAAACCCCCAGGGACCACCCTGCCCAGAGGGCTGGGTGCTCAGCCAAAGCCTGGAGCTTCTGGTGCCAGCTCTCCATCACGACAAGACCATCACAAACCCCCTGCAAAACAGCTCTTGAAACTCATATGGAAATTTCGAGGGTGGCCACAAGGTCTCTGGCCTCTGTTACTCCCATAACTTGTGAGTGAAAGCGGGATCTCATCAGTGGGAATATGGAAGGGAGGCAGAAAACCCCAAGGGGGCTGCTAGAAAGACCTCAGAGCCTGAGCTGACAGGTAGCTCAGAGCACTGAACTCATTTATTTTTAACTCGGCGACTGTGGGGCTAAACACTGCAATCTGTGCTCACCTTTGGCCTCACCGTAAACTCAAGTAATTACTCGTCTAATGATGCCTGCTAATCGGCATGACTCGCCGGGGAGCCAGCAGTGTGCTGGGCACTGCTCCTCCGGCCTCCCGTGAGCCCAAGCGGGGTGGGCTGGCACAGCCCCTGCAGCACTGGTGCCGACAGGGATGTCCCCAGGGTGTGGGGCAGCACCGCCAGCCAGCAGGGACGGGGACGGTGGCACACGCCACAGCGATGGCACATGTCTGCAGTGTTGAGCAACTGCAGCTCATCCTCCCTGGGAGATTCGGCCTCGTGGGCTGAGCCTCCCCGGGATGCACAAGCCTCTCCCTTCACCCTTGCGTCTCCTCTGGAGCCCGGGATTTGCAGGAGAAGCAGTTACCAGACTGGTGTGGCACAAAGCCCCGTGGTTTTGGCTGGGAGCAGCAAGAGGAGAGCAGAAGGTGGCTTTTCCTCCGGCGCTGTGGCGAAAGCTTACCCAGAAAGTGGGAAGTGGGTTTGGATGTCCCTTCACCAGGCCAGCCCAGTGCTGCTGGAACTAGTGAGCTTCTTGTGAGCTGGGCTGGAGGGAGGATGGGGACCGGCAGTCCAGTCTGGCCAGTAGGTGTTCACCTCATGCTGGTTGCTTCTGCAGCATTGCTCTGTTTCATCTGCTGGCCTCTTTACCCAAAACACGTGTTAATCAGGGGCTGTGGGGGGGCTTCCCACCCACGGGATGGATACCTGTACCTGTGTGAGGGATCTATGCTTCCACCTGCCCATCCTGCCCTGTAGCATGGGGCCCTGGAGACCCCATTCCCCACTTCTGGGGTGGCAGACCCCTTCCTGGGACTGTCCTAACCATGCAGGGCTTTCCTCCTGCTTCCCCAGGCAGGGTGCAGCGAGCTGCAGGGTGTTTAATCCATTCTCCTTTCCACATCAGCAGTGGGTCACCCTCACTGTGTGATGCTCTGCTGCCAGGCACAGCAGTCCCTGGTGCCAGTATGACCATGGGTGCTGGGTGTCTGACATGGCCGACAGGTTGGGAGGATCATCCCAGTTGCCCAGGGGCACATGGTCACTCTGGGGCAGCCAGTCCGGGCTGCGCAGAGGGTGTTTGTCCAGAGTGCTCGTGCGTGCAAAGGTGGCCCAGCACCCAGGCGGTGCCCAGCACACCCGCAGGCAGCACCCAGAGAAGCAGCGTGAGAGGCTCCATCTCCCCAGCATCGCCCAAGGTGCCCGGAGCAGCGGCGGGGCCAGAGCCCCATCCTGCAGAACAGCAGGCGGGCGCCTGAGCCTGCCCTTTCCCTTCCCACAACCCTGCTTCATTTACCGCACACCTCCCAGCTTCTGCAGCGGATGAGGGGAGGAGGGGGGGGGCCCTGCCGGCGGCGGCCCCCGTCACGGCACAGCCTCGCCTCCCTTCCCCGGGGCTTGGGGCCCATCCTGTGTGCCGAGTGAGGCCGTGCCCTGCGGGAAAAAGTAGTATGTGGTGACGTAATTAAAGGCTGCATCATTAACGCATGTGTGCAGGGGCTGAACGTTTCCTACTTCTTGAGGGCTTGGCTTCCCTGCACTGCATTCATGGGTGCTTAACTCCACGGGAGGCTTTAAAACAGGAGAAGTACCTCTGGGGAAGTGGAGCACCTTCAGCAGTCACCAAAGCCAGCGTGCCACCAATAGCTGGAGAGCACGGGAGGGCTCTGGTGTATGGAGTGGGGTGGAGGGCGACCTGCCTGCTCCACAGGCATCACCGTCCCGCACACCTCAGGTGGAGCTGGTGCACAGGTCCGCAGCATGGCTACTTGCAGATCTGTGTGAAAGTGGAAAGGCATCCATGATGCTCCCCACGCCTTGTAGCCCAGCCAAAAGCCAAGCTCCTTTAGAGGGTATCAGTGTCTCTCAGCGCCGGCAGAGCAATGTATTCGTCCTTTAATCGCTTTCCTGGAAACAGCGATGCCATTTTGGCTCGGACTGCACACCAAAAAAAAAGCTCACCCCAAGGCAGACATCTGGCACACAACATTTTCATCCCAACAGCCAAAATTTTGCTAGGCCGTACGCAGGGAAGCCAGCTTCTCCTGCCCGTTCCTGCTGTGAATCGGGGGTGGGGGGGGGCGTTGTGCTGCTGACTGTCCCCTCTGCCCCCCCAGGACTACTGGCTGTCCCTGCTCTACAAGCGCCTCATTGGTCCCAAGGTCCTGGCAATCCATGTGGCCGGTCTCCAGAGGAAACCCCGGCCCGGCAGAGTCATTCGTGACAAGCTCCGCATTTACGCCCACTGCACCAGCTACCACAAGTAAGCGGAGCGAGGGAGGCTGGGGGCTGCAGGGGGTGAGAGGGACCTCCAGGAGATGGGGACCATGGAGGACATGCTAGGGCAGGAGCCCAGGCTTTGGCTCCAGCAAGGCAGGTTGGCTTCCCAGAGGACTCGCTCCGGTGCTTCTCTGGCCACTGTGGTGGTGGAGGGAGCGGAGGGGAACAGCGATGCCTCTGATGAAAGTCGCAGCAAGCCCGTGCCTGGGAACGGGGCCGGCCGGGGCGGGTGCGGTGGCCGGCGGGCAGCCCCCGGCAGCAGAGATCAAGGGAGTGGATTTCACACGAGGGGCCCCCCGGTCGGTCGGGGTACCCGCCGGGCCGCACTGCCGGGGAGCCCGGCCTGGTTATTGTTTCGCTGATAAGGTCTTTGAAAGCGCCCCAGCGAGCCGGGGGGGCGGCCACCTCCTCTACAGACACAAGTTGCTATTGTGGAGGAGGAGAGACTGTTTCTTTACACAGTCCAGATGCTTTCAACATGCCTCCAGCTCGGTAGGAAACCTTGTCCAGTAACTGACAGGTGCAAAGTGCTTTATAGCCTTTGTTTGGGGCTGCCTGATTAGGCAGGGACAGAGGATCAGTGTCTGGACCTGTCAGTTAGGTGCCCGGGGCAGTGGGGGTAGACGTCACTCACGCACAGAGCTCCCCACCGTTCTCAGCCTCCTCCTCATGAGGCCCTGGGGGGGCTGCCCTGGGACCACCGCCCCTGTGGCACCCCCTTCAGCCATGCCACCCCTGGCCAAGGAGGGGAGGGAGAGATTGGGAAGGTGTTATCCCGGAGCCGGGCTTTGTGATGGGGAGGTAGCATCTCCCTGTGGAGGAGCAGCTGGGACAGTGATATCCCCTTCGGATGGCTGCATGAGGCTGGTTCTTGCAGAGACCCCCAAACCTCTTTTTGGAGGTGATGCTCCCATGCCACATGCCAACATGCCCCTCGGCTCCCACTCTCCCTTTTGCAGCCACAACTACGTCCGAGGGTCCATCACCCTTTACATCATCAACCTGCATCGCTCCCGGAAGAAAATCAAGCTGGCGGGGACGCTGCGGGACAAGATCGTCCACCAGTACCTGCTGCAGCCCTATGGCAAGGACGGGCTCCACTCCAAGTAAGTGCGATGCTGGTGGCTGGGGCTGCCACCACCACCGCATCCTCGATGCCACCACCCTGACCCTCTCCTGGTTCTACAGGTCGGTTCAGCTCAACGGGCAGCCGCTCGCCATGG